AAATTTGCATAGTCGAGACATTTAAAGTGATGTAGAATGCATTCAATTAGTACAAATTACTGAATTAAAAGGTACTGAGCGTTCAAAATAATAAGAAAGAATTTTGTATGAGTACATGAAAGAATGAATATGGTTCTAAAATTATGGATGAAAGTTGAGATTTCATTCTAAAAATTCGGAATCTATCAAACTAGCTTAATGAGAATCAAGATTCAAAACTGAACATTGGTAACATTGAAGAGCTTTAAAATCATATATTCAGATATAAAGGGTATTAAGAATTAAAAGGAAATGCCAGAATATGCAGGAAATGTTAAAGTTTGAAAATGCGAATGAAGTTAATAATGAAGTAAAGTAGTAGGATAAGTCAGGTAAGAGTACTACAGAATGATAAATTGTAGAATTGGCAAATTAAAATAGTACTATAAAATATGGACTAAGTAAGGACTATTCAACGAATTGGATATGAATAACAGTTAAAGGTTGTAAAATAAAATGCTTAATTTAAATCGATCTCTATTTTTAAGAAATTTAAGCGTGTTAATTTAGCTGAAATAGTAAAATCACAAGCGCAATTACAATCAAAAATTATAAAACAGAGTTAAAATTTAGAGTATGTTGGAAACTAGAAAGAAATCCAGTGCCAGAAAAGTATGAAAATTACATCTAAAATTAACTAAAGTTTATGCGTATGGTAGGAAAATGTAATAAACAAGTTCAAAATTAGAGTACTTTAAAAATTACGGAGATATAAAATGTACGAAACATGTTAAAAATAATATCTAAAATTAAATAAAGCTCACATACATGGTAAGAAAATAGAGGAATTAAGCTAAAATTAGGAGCCTGTTTGAAATTAGGAAGGTTAAAACGTATGAAAGTCGTTACAAATTAAAGGAAAGTCATGTGAAAATATAAGAAATTAGTTAAAATTCTTAGTATGTTGAAAACTAAAAGCGATAAAAATAGAAAAGGAGTTAAAATTTACATCTAGAATTAAATAAATCAGGTATATGGTAGAAAAATGTAATAAGCAAGTTCAAAATTAGAGTACTTAAAAATTACGAAAGTTTAAAAATGTACGAAACAAGTTAAAAATTACATCTAAAATTAAATAAAATTCATATATATGGTCAGAAAATATAGGAATTAAACTAAAATGTAAAGTATATTTGAAATTAGGAAGATTGAAACGTATGAAAGTCGTTACAAATTAAATGAAAGTCATGTGAAAATATAACAAATTAGTTAAAATTCAGAGTATGTTGGAAAACTAAACACGTTAAAATATAGAAACGAAGTTAAAATTTAACACTAAAGTTAAATTAAATAAAAAGTCAGGTAGGTATATGATGTGAAAATATAGCAATTATGTAAAATTAGGAATTATGAAGGTTAAAATGTATGAGAGAAATGAAAGTCATGTAAGTAGTGTGAAAATATAGAAATTAGTTAAAACTCAGAGTATGTTGGGGAACTAAAAACGTTAAAAAATAGAAAATAAGTTAAAATTTTAAAATAAAATAAAATATGATATATGCAGGAATTATGTTAAAATTAGAACTATATCCAAAAGAGGAATATCAAAGGATGGATGGTTAAAATGTATGGGAGAAATCGTAAAAGTCATGATAATAGTGTGAAAATATAAGCTGGTTAAAAATTTCAGTATATTAAATAGTGTGAAGGTTAAAAGTACAAAACAAGCTAGAGAAATGTTACATCTAAAATTAAATACAAGTCATCTATATGATTAGAAAATGTATGAAATAAGTTAAAATACAGAATATGTTGAAGATCGCAAACGTTGGAAAGAACGAAAAAAGTTTAAAAATTACGTCTAACATTGAATAATATAATACACGAAAATGCGTTTTTTAGTAATTACACTCATAAAATATAACGAATAAGTTAAAAGTATTGCCTAACAAGTCTGAAAAAACTCTGGGTAAAAAATTGAATTTAAGAATAAAAATGAGTAATGTAATGAAGATTACGGAATGTATATGTGATATTATGAACAGAAGATTTAAGACATAAGGTAAAATTCTGAGTGTATAGGATCACTCAGTCATTAAATTCGAAAATGATCCTCATTCAGGGTAACTAGGAGTACACATCATATACGTAGTAAAACAGTTGGAATACGAAGAAAAAACACAAAGGCTAAAAATTTATTAAAGGGAAATCACCTCCGATAAATCAGTAAAATATAATCTCTTATTAAATTCTGATGACATGTAGCAATTTTGCAGATATTCAATCATAGGATAAATACAAGTAAGAAAATAAATATTTGGCTAAAACTGTTACGGAAACATTTTATTTTATATCTCTTTCTAGAAAATAACTGTATCAGTCACTTAAAACACCTACTTGATATACGTTTTTAAGAATTCAATATAAATAAGTACAAATTATCATATAACTACTAAATGCCTAAATCACCTAATTAATAAAATCTAAGCACACGTCCTTTTTCTGTGAGGTAGCAACTACCCTTATCTCCCATCCACTTTCTGATAAGGCTCCCTGTCCCCATTTTCAGATAAGCGTCCCTTCCACGGCTGAGGCTTCCTTCTCGGGAGCTCCCTCAACTCCGGCTCCCTAAAGCTCCCGAGCCAGAACTGTCATTTCCCCTACTCGCGTTCTGAAAAAGTTTAATGTAACATTAATTGGTACCAAAATAAATAAATACATAAGCCTAGCTGGTCATCAATAAATTCTGATTTTTATATTTCGTGCAATTTGTAACAATAATGTCATTTACTTTTTATTAAGAATTTGTAAAATTATTATCTTTCTGTCTGTAATTTCTTCGTTTCCATTTTTCACTGTCTTCCTCAGTCTGTCCTGTTGTGAACTTTTCATCTTTTTCGTTTTTTGTTTGATAATTTTTTCTCTGATTTTATATGCAGACAAAACCATCTCATAGCCAAACTTATATCAATACTTAGAACATCAAATAATTTCACACTCTCAGAAGAATGAAAAATTTTTTTAAGGAAATGCGTATTCAATCTTGTAATCCTCCCTCGGATATTTATCCCCCTAACATTTTAGCACGAGGTTCTGAAACTGTTTTACATATTCGCGTAACGGTACCTTCCGTAAGGCTTTCAGAAAGCGATCTTCCTTAAATTTGAAATTCCCGGCAAGTGCATTGTACATTTTCGCCCACCAGCGGCCGAGCGGTAAAAGTCGCTGAACACTGGTAGTTCGATCCAGGGTTCGAATCCCGGCGAACAAGCTGACTGAATAGGCATTTTCGTGGTTTTCTCCATGTGTAACGTTTATATGAGCCAGATTCCTTTAGAAAAAAGGCATAACTTCCCTTAGGAAGATGCCTTCGAGTTCTTTGCCATAACTAAATAAACCAAAACTAAAATTTCAGAAAGGCTTCGCCCACATTGTGATTGTTGTCATTGTTTAGTAACTGATTCGCTTGTGGACTTTGAGAGCGTTGACTCTGTTTGATGGAATAAGACTGATGGGCAGTAAGCTTTAAGAGTTTCGGGAAAACAGAGATGTCTAATGTTTATGATGGTTCTGAAGATTATTGCATGTAAGAAGACAGACTGAACCGTAACGACGCCTAACAAGCTGTAGCAGATGGCACAGATAACAATTTCAACAGCACTAAATAATTTGAGGAGTGGGATTCAAGATGCAGGAAATTAGAAATGGAGCTAACTTATTCAATATTATAATGTTTACAATGTAGGTAACTTATTCAATATTGTAATGTTAATGTTACTTTGTATTATCATTACAATGTAGGTTTCTTTCAAATAAGTAATGTTATGATAGCTACGAGTAGTTTAAAATACAGCATCTGTTTAAAGAAAAACTAGTTATTTTGAGTCAGCCACATTCGTTCTAAATAGTAATAACACATGTTTACGGATCTATGAGGTTTCGAGAGAATTGGAAGCTTATGTTTTATTAGCCCAGAAGAGCTATTAATTTCGTTTTGGCATTTTGCGTTGGTTCACTATAAATGTCGGTTCACTTTTCAAATTGCTGCCATTAAATATTGTATTATAGACCTGTGTTATATTTAAAGAAATTAAGTGAAGAATCTGCATAAATGTATGTATGTTTCTCGCACTGTGATAAAACAACTGTACCTAGAGCCATCCAATTTTGAATACCATAATCTTCCATCGAATATGGGCATCTTGAAGCCCTAATTTGAAATATGGAATTTGTTTTATTATCGATTTCATATTTTGTTTTTGATTAACGAACTCAACGACTTCAAAGCGAGCAATGGCAACACTACGGGAGGGGGGGGGCAATTATCTCCGGCATGCGAGACGGAAATCGGAAATTCTAAAGATATGTGTATCGGAAATTCTAAAGATATGCTCATTTTAAAATTATTTTGCGATGATATTGCTGTTGAATTGAATTTTACGGTTTAAGGGCAAAGAACATTATATTTAATAAATAAAGGTAACATACAAAACGCTAAAAAAATTTACTTCTGGGGGTAATATAACATCTTTAATTAATTAATTTTAATATGAAAAATATAACAAAAATACTACATATATTAAAATTAATGGCACATCATCATAAAAAGTGTCAGAAGTCCATCATAAAAAAAGGGGTTTTCGAACTCATAAATATTAAGAAGCGTTGATCTAAACAGCTGAAAGAAAAACGCCATTTTCCATTTCGAAGAAGCGTTCTGAAAAAGGCGCGTTCTTTTTGCAAGCCGACAAGAACATTAACAAAGCATCGTACTCTATTACTCTGGCATTGAATGTAGAGAATAGAGAAGGAAGAGGAGAGAGAAAGGAGACAGAAAGAGAAAAAAAAAAAAGAAAGAGGCTTTGGAGCGCGAGAGAATGTAGTCCACCAATCATTGCTCCGTACCTCTGCGCAAATCACTGCTTCCTACACGGGGCAGACACCCCGCTCGATTGGCCGAAGTACGTCTTAGTGGGCGTTCCCTAATCTCACAGTTCCACTATATCTAATTCAGTTGGCACCGTCAATCTACCAAAAACTCGCAACTTAAATTGCGACTTCTTTTAAAAATCAGTCTATAAGAGAAGAATCAATCGCGAAATATTGGAAATTACGGCCAATCCCGATTACTTCGCGTCGTCCAGGAAGTAAGTACACTCTCTCTGATTGTTTCGTAGATCTGTATTTGTTCTAATTCGGCTTTTATTGGTCTTTATTAGACGGGTTGAAATTATTTAATTTAGCCAATCGTGGCTGTTTAGGTTTAATCATAGGATGCAGCGAGAAGAATCAATGAGTGAATATTGGAAGCGATGAGTAGAGCCAGGATATTTAATTAAGGGTTTCTGTGGACGTCTGAAAAGTTTTATGTGGTTGAGTCACGTTGAGTTTCTTGGGAAATTTTTTTCCTCTGTCTTCTGCGCACTTGGAGTCATCGTGAGCTAGAAAGTGGAATTCTCCATAAATAATGGTCTTCATTTGCAGGCTTTTATTTTTTAATTTGTTCCAATAACATCGTTGATTACTCGTAAGTGGATTTATCTGCAAGGTTTTAATCATGAATGTTCTTCAAGGAGAATCATATTACATAAAAAGGAAAACTCATTTTAATTAGCTTATCGGGGAATGCTATAAAATGGAAGGTTGCAAAATAATATTTAAACTCGTTTGGTGCTAATCACAGCCTTGAATGGAGATACATTCTTTTCTTTTAGTCCAAAGACTCTCTGAAGGACTATTGTTTTCGTTTTGCGATTTTGCTTTGCATCACTATAAATTCCGTTTCACTTTTCAAACTGTTGCCACAAAATGTTAGAGTCCTGCATTATATTTGAAGAAATTAAATAATGAAAAATGTGCATAAATGTATGTATATTTCTCCCATTGTGATAAAACAACGGTATCTCGAGCCACAAATTTTGAATAACGTAATCCTCCACCGACTATGGGCATGTGGAAGCCCTAATTTCGAATTTGTAATTTGTTTTATTATCTATTTCTTATTTTCTAACATTTTAACGAATTTTTGATTAATAAACTCAACGATTTCAAAGCGGACAATGGCAACACTGTACGGGGGGGGGAGGAAATAATCTCCAGAGCGCGAGACTATGTATCGGAAATTCTAATGATCTTTTAAATGTTTTATAATATTGCTGTGGAATTGAATTTTATGTTTTTAGTGCAACTAGAACATGACATTCAATAAATAAAGGTAACACATAAAACGTTAAAAACGCCCCTGTGGTCGTAATATAAAATTTGAAATCTTTCGAATTTTTTTTACTCTTTCACAGACTACAGCATCTGTTGAATGTCTGCGGTAGTTGAATTTCTTAAAGCGGTGTTTTTGGTATGAATTTTCTAATAATGCCTGCAATTTAAATTTACAAAATATTTTCAATTACTTTACAATACAATACGGATATTAAAAATGTTCTTTGTTTTATATTAGGAGAAATCTTTAAAACATACCAATCGAGAACAAATTTTTCATCAAGTTGCATTTGTAATTTCAGTAAGAATGAGTTATCAAGATAAGTTGACCTTAGCTTCTTTCTAATCAGTACTGTGTTCAGTACAAAGATCCCATGTAAATAAATTTACCTATTTTGATTCTTAAAGTTAGTGCACGCTTCCTTTTGTAAAAATGGTTAGAAATCAGTAATGCAACTATACCAATCAGTAATGCAACTCATTATTTTTATGAACCAAATTTTTGATTATTTTCATTGATTGGCTTAAAAGATATGACTTTCCTCAAAAAACGAATTAAAAGATAACTTCATTAAAAGATAAACTAGAACATAGAAAACCTAAATGAAGCAAAGTTCGTTCAGTTCAAATTCAGCTTTAAGAAAAATTATAAGTGTTTGTTCGCAAATTATGGGCATATATTTCTTGTTTTTGACAATAATAATTTTTTAAGTTATTAGTTTTAGTAATATCATTTGATAATTTTATTAGCACAAAGAGGCTTCATACCCAAAGGGCTCAATGGCATTTTGAGTCGTTTCACTTTCTGTGTTGGCTCTTTTTCAAATTGTTGCCGCTATTTGAAGATCGCTATGTATTAGATTTAAAGAACTAAATAATGAAGAATCTGAATGAATCTATGTATGTTTCTCGGATTGTGAAAAGACTACGGTACCTAGAGACATCAAATTTGAATAACGTAGTCGTAATTTGAATACGTCGTAGCAGCGTAATTTGAATAACGCAAAATAGGTAAACAGAACATGGGCACTTGGAAGTCTGAGTTTTGAATTTTTTTTTTTTTTTTTTTTTTTATTCTCTATTTCAAATTTTTAAAATTTTAACGAATTTCTTATTAAGAAATTCGACGATTTCAAAGCTAGCGATAGCAACACTCAAAGGAGGGGAAAAAACCTTTTTATTTTCAGATTGCGAGATTGTGTATCAGAAATTCTGAAGACATGCTGTTTTAAATATTTTGAGATATGTGTTGAATGAATTTTATGTGGTTTAAATGTGAAGAACATGGTATTTAATAAATAAAGGTAACACACAAAACGTTAAAAAAAAAAAAAAAAAAAAAAAAAAAAAAAAAAAACCCTTTGGGCGTAATATAAAATGAAAGCTTTCAGACTTTTTTTAACGTTTTTTGTGTTACATTTATTTATTCATGAAAATAATGAAAAAAAATGAATCACTTAATCAAAAAAATGAATCTCTTAATCAAAAAAATGAATCACTTAATCAAAAAAAATGAATTTGGATTAAGTTAAGGGGAAACTTAACTTAATCCAAATTCTTATTAACTTAATCCAAATAATTATGTATATTTCTCGTATTGTGATAAAACAACGGTACATAGAGTCATCGAATTTTGAATAACGTAATCCTCCAACGAATATGAGCATGTGGAAGACCAAATTTGAAATTTGAAATTTGTTTTATGATCGATTTCCTATTTTTTAAAACTTTGACGAATTTTTGATTAACAAACTCAAGGATCTCAAAGCGAGCAATGGCAACGTTGTGCAGAAAAAACATTTTTATCTCCAGCGCGTGAGTTCTGTATCGGAAATTCTAAAGATAGGCTCGTTTTAAAAACTATTTTGCGATATGCTGTTGCACTGGATCTATGGTTTAAGTGCGAGGAACAGATATTATAAAGAAAGGTAACACACAAAATGTTAAAAAACGACCCTTTGGACGTAATTAAAATCTGAAAAATTTCGATTTTGATTATTTATTTATTATTTATTTATTTATTTTCTATTCTTTTATTAGGTATTTAGGAAACTTGAAACTTTTTCAGTCTTAAGCATGAATAAAATGATAACTCCGTTCGCAAAGGTAATTGAGTATAGACTAACTGGAGTACTCAAATAACTGATATAAAAGAATGCGTATAAATATTCGTGGTAAGACTTTACGAATATGTAGCCTTAAAAGTAGCTGATAATAAATATCATTAAATATAATAATTTAATTTAATTTAGTGTACGTAATTATAAAGATAGTTATATGTTGGGAAGGAATATGTTACTCTTTCAACATCAGACCAAAAGATAATTATCTATGTTGCAATATTTTCAAAAGCCTTTTCATTAACATAACTACCTCAATATACTTCACTTGCACAACTAAATCTAAAAAAAAAAATGAAAAACTAAAAAGATTTAAAAGCTTTCAGATTTTATATTGCTCCCAAATAGCCGCTTTTTTTAACGTTTTATGTGTTATACTTTATTTATTAAATATCACGTTCTTTACATTTAAACCACAAAATTTAATTCAACAGCAATATTGTAAAATAATTTTAAAATGAGAATATCTTCATAATTTCCTATACAAAGTCTCACGCGCTAGAGATTTAGCCCTCTCCGTACAGTGTTGCCGTTGCTGGCTTTGAAATCGTTGAGTTTGTTAATCAAAAATATGTTAAAGTTTTACAAAATATGAAAAAGATAATAAAACAAATTCGAAATGCAAAATCCGTGTTTCAGGTGCCCATATTCGGGTGAAGGACTACGTTATTCAAAATTTGATGTGTCTAGGTACCGTTGTTCTTTCACAGTGTGAGAAACATACATACATTCATACAGATTCTTCATTATTTAATTTCTTTAAATATAATGCCGGATTCTAATATTTGGTAGCAACAATTCAAAAAGTGAAACGTCTCTTCGCAAAATGCCAAAACGAAATTAATAGACCTTCTGGGCAAATTACCCCTTTCGGCTAAGAAATTTAAATTAAGATTTCGACCTTCATAGTTCACATGTATTCAAATTATAAGCTCCTGCAAATATCATGCTATTTCAAGAATACGTACATTTTGAGCATTTGAAATCATTTTGAAACTAACGCTATGTACAAACGGTGTGCAAACGGTAGTTGCAGATGCTTCTGAAAACAATTTCATAACAAACTGAGTACTGTTTACCGATTTAAATATCAGCATTATTTTTAAAACTATGACAAAATAGTTTTTATGAAATACAAATGGCAAGAATTCTGCATAAATCTTTACTCTGCATTTAAGAGCATTGATCTATACTAGAGAATAGTAAAATCTATGTCCTTAATTATTTAACAACCTCATCTGTCAATTTAAAACTATATTTTTTCCATTATTTAGTAATAGGCTAATTGCTAATAATTAACTTCCATTTATTTTCCATAAAGGTAGATAATATCTAATCTTTCAAATAATTTTTGATTCTAATCTTTAAAATAACTTTTGAATTAACACTGCAAATATTAAAAAATATCGGTGCTAAAACTACCATATTTACTTGCGTAATAGTCGCACGTTTTTTGCCAATTTTTCATTGCGAAAGTCTAGGTACGACTGTTATGCAGGGAAATCTACTGCACAATATTGTACACTTTTGACGATTTTTTCTGCTTCAAAACGGAGGCTGCGACTATTACGTGAAGGCGACTATTAAGCGAGTAAATACGGTATTAGTCCCTTAAAGCAAATAATCCTTTTACTGTTCTATAGAAGTAAATTTTAGAATACGGCGAGCTGTCCAATTTATCTTGATTGTCAGAAAATGTAAGGTGGTTTCGATGTGAATAATTATGTTTCGATGTGAATGTGTAAGCAGAACCGATGTGAATAATTAAAAATTCTTATTATACGGATTTAAGAAATTAAGTAATAGAAGTG